ATAGCATAGAGCTTGAAGACGGCGGTTTGACAAGCTACGTAACGTCACGTACGCACGCACACAAGCCATGTAAGTCCGACAAGTCGGTATGTTCTCGGCTCATGAATGTCAAAGAACACCTTCCAAAGTTCTATTACTGGCTTCTCAGCTGTTGAATCGATGGCCCGTACGTTCCCAGAAACCAACGCGGCCACGTCCTGAGGGCTATGTTTAGCTGTGCGCGCGTGTAGCGCGCGACTGAGCGGTGATGACTTTTTCCGTACGCGCACCACTCTGGTGCAATATATTTCTCGTGCACAGTCTTAAGCCACTTGTATGCTAGTACAATGCATAGCATCCAGTATGGATGATTGATTTTAGGCTCGCGCGTGAGCTAACCGACGGTAGAACTATCGTTGCGACTCTGATATCATCATACACTCTGAGAAAATCAAAAGCTCTTCAACGGCCGCCATCATACCCAGACATGGCTACACGTGTTACATGTGCGACATTGAGGTGTTAGTCTCGCTCATGATAGGCGCCATGTGAGTGCGTGTGACAGTAAGTCATTTTGAAGACCGGGATAGACTCTTCTCGTGTGCTATGATACCAAGAGTGCCCTTTCAAGAGGTCTCCTCTGCGAGAGATTGAGTCTAAAACAAAAAGTCTTCTCCATCAGGCCACTCCCGCAAACAAAATCGGCTTTTTCCCGGGCGTCTTTGCCAGCCTAACTACCCCCCCTCCCCTCCCCCGCATTTGATTTCTCTTTCTATCTTGACACGGTGTTCATGCAGAGAACAGTCTCTGTATCAAGTCATGATGACTCGGCAAGTGCAGACCGCATCAAAGAAGGCTTTGAAGCAATGCAATATTTACACGGAGCGCAGTATTCTTCATCGCAGCCGCGAGAACGTGCCCAGCTTGCGGAGCAGCTCCGGGCCGACGCCAGGACGCTAGAGACCAAGCTTCGTCACACTCAAAGGCGTATCAACCAGTTGTCGCCTATAGGCTCCTTAGCTCCCGAGACGCTCGGAATTGTCTTCTCCTTCTTCTCAGAGCTTGAGCAGCCTCGAGCGTTCAACCAGTGCACTTCCGGCTCATTGGGATGGCTACGACTGATGCACGTTTGCAACGCGTGGCGGAATGTCTGTATTTCAACTCCACAACTTTGGGCCAATTCGCTTGGCAGGCTGCCCCGTGCTTTGCCCGTCTTTTTGAAGAGGGCAGGCGAGCATACCCCACTCAGGTTCCACCTCTCAGACAACTGGGACACTTGGATCGCTGGATATAGCTGCACAGCCGACTGCGCCGACTATCGTCCCGATATGGTGAACGTGACTACTGAACTCTTATTGCGATCGAGACGCATCGTTGATCTCGAGTTACATCTCCCCATGTCAGGAGTTGGAACTACCATCGGCGAAACCCTGCGCGAGTATGATTTTGGGGCCCTCACACACCTTCGTCTCGAGACTGCCGTAGTTGGCGGTTCAAGAACGTTAATGCGCGCCTCGCTCGTCTCGCACATGCTACGAACCGCGGACTTTGGTGGTTCTTTCATACCAATCATTGCTCCGTCCCTCACCTTCTTGTCCTTGAAAAACATCTTCGGTGGGCTTGATGGGAATATGCTGCACGACGTGATCCGCGCCAGTCCATGTTTGGAGGCTATCATTCTCATTGATCTGCCTCGCGGAGTGCTTAAGGAGAAACCTGAGCGCCAGGCGGTCAGCTTGCATCGGCTAGTCTACCTCCGTATTTCATTGACAGCGACTGGTGAAGAGATCAACACATTTGTGAGGAAACTGAAAACCCCTCGCACGGTACAGATGGACGTTTGTTGGTGCTTTAAGCCATTGAACATGGCGGATCACGAAGCCGTGCATTCCATCTTCAAGGCGACGTACTTGGAAAGGGAAGAAACGGCGCTTGAAATAAAGAAAGACTCAATCGAGCTGCGTACATCTTTCTGTCGGGGACGTTGGCAGCAGCTGAAACTCTCCATCACCCTTGGAAATAACGGCTCCGCTGATATTCTACGGGACGCGTGCCTCGGTCCATATCTCGAAAAAGTCGTGCATCTCACGGTCAGCTCTGTGTTTTATGCGGCTGTGGACGAGTGGGCACAGATATTTGCGCTTTTGCCGAGCGTCGATACATTGGAATTGAGCGTGTGCAGGAGTTCTTTGCGGCCTCTGTCACTTGAACACATTTTTCACGCACTTGCCCGGTGCTTTGTCGAAGACAAGAGCTTCCCTACTCTCATCCCACTACCGAAGCTGTCGACTTTGACACTGAACACGACCATTGACGCCAGCACAATCTCAATACGAAACGAAATTCTGCCGTGCCTGAGCTTGCGCGCGTTTGCGGAGGCAAACTCGCTCCGCACGATCTGCTTAGAGGGATTCGAGGCGATTCCCTCCCTAGACAGACAATTGCGAGAAGTAGTCGGCGCCGTGGCGTGGAAAGATACTTGAGAAAAGCGTGCATGTTAGCAAAGCGAGCGAGTCGGTGTCCCATGGTTGCTGTATAACCGTTTTCTACAGCATATAGGACCAGGACGAGCATGCGGCGGTGGGAATATTTCAATTCGGCTCACATTCAAGACCTTGCTCCTCTACCATGTTTGTACGCCGTCCTGGCTGTCGGCTCTGACTACCAATACATGTCTGGCAATTATAATGAACATATGGCTTGCATGTGTCTTGCACCGCTTACTACGGCGACGAAAGACAGGCGCAGCGCGCCGGATCGGCTGAAGCCAGCGAGTAAATTACCAGCCAGAGGACGCGGATAGGTCAATCAGAGGAGTGGGAAGAATGTGCGGACGGCAGCAAGAAGAGATAGACAATGTAAGGGACGTGCCGAACCGTCAGTGAGGGAGATACAGAACAGATGTATACATGACACGCAACGAAGCCACGCAGGGTACGGACATAGTTTGGATCAGGTGGGTTGCGCCAGTCGGGCGTGAGAGCCCTCCAAATGTGATCATTAACTTCAGTGAGTAAAGAAGAGTGGTGGGCTGCAGAGATCAAAAATGCGGTAATATTGGGGTGTGGGGAAGGGAGAGGATACCAAGGATGTGACGGTCGGGAGGAAGAGAACGGCGAGAGCTTGGCCACAACACCTCTCTGCTTAGACAACACACCCAGCACAATGCGCGAGCTACAGCCGGTCTTGTGAGTGTGGGTGGACTCCAATAGTGCACTCTGTGTAAGTAGTGTGTCTGCGGAGACATGTCCAAAGCGATGGCGGGCCACGCCAGACCAGAGGGAAAGGCACTCCAAAGCAGGCTGCAGACGTCGTGACGCCGGCGCCAACGCCGGAAGTGCCGCACAGTTATCCGAGTCTTCGTGCCGCAGCATTTGCTTATCTCCTGTTCCACTCATGTCACTGTGGCTCGGTCGTCGTGGCGCAGGTAGCACGTTCAAGTCGGTGTTGTAAAGCGAGCACGCGGGTAGCTGTAGCGTAGCTACTGCAGGATAAAATAAGCTTAACAGCAGTACGAGTAGATTATGTCGTGTCCACCGAATTACTAATGAAGTTTTAGGCCGGCCGTGAAGCGATCCCAGTGAAAGGTAAGAAGTCGATGAAGTCGGGCGAGATGATTGGCGTCAAAGACGGGGATCACTTGGTGATGCAAATCAGGAGAGAGTGAAAGGGCGACCCTACGCGCGGCGCCTTGTTGCTCAGAGAGTTTGTTGGAGCGCCTTGGGGCCCATCTACACCCATTCTCGTCATTTCTGGGCCACGTCGCTCATGGGACTCGGAAGACTAGCCTGCCGTCGAGGCAGCGCCGAGCGGTGCAGTACGTATAGGGCAAAACACACGAGGACAATTCAACATCGTGCACGGAAAAGAGACCATATGCAATCTAGAGGCGAGCGGACTGCGGCGCGGCGCCGGAAGCCTCCTCTCGCTCAAGACGGTCTTGTCTCAAAAATAAGGACAGTTCATCGTGCTTTTGCCCGAAAAGAAGTTACGTGAGCTCTCGAGGCCCACGTATGGCTGCGAGGGGATAGCTTTAGATTACAGCGAGGGGTGAAAAGCCAGACATCGTTCGGTCGCCGGATAGTGGGACTCGGATGGAAAGAAGCCCAAGGCAAGTAGGTGTACTGCACTAGTGGAGTTAAAAATAAAGATTGAGAACTACTATTGTACCAATTCAATATGTTCGTTGCAGGCGCGACCGCGGGCGGCCGATCTTGAAGGGCACGCCGCCTGGAAGCACCTTGGTGCCGAAGTGAAGACCAGCGGCGCGAGCGCATGGCGCAAAGGCTTGGCAAGCAGTGACTGTGTATGTTGTGGTGGGAGCAAGTAAGTTCAACATGCGAGTGCGGGCTGCAATAGAAATGGTGGTTGCGCGACGAGGAAGACGCGAACGCGCGAGCGGAGGACTTGCCGCGTGCTGACGGTGGCCTTCTCACGCGCCGAGGGTGGCCCCGCCTAGCTAGCAGTGCTCACGGGTACGCTCGCGAACGGCGTCTGCGCGCAGCGGCTACGCTGGAGGGGGCCATCTACGATGCGGTCCACGCGATGTTCGGCAACCACGTCTGATGATTACCAACGCAACTGGGTCTCGACTAGCAAGTTACACATGGATTCAGGATCTACAAGAAGCAGGGAGGGTGACACTGTCCATCCAGGGGAAGAGTTGAAAGGCGAATGGAGGGTTGTCGGGTGCCGCAACCACAAAGTCAATTGGACGTCGGGGAGCGCGGTCGGCAGACATACACGATCGCCCAATGTACATACTACATTGCTCACTTCCAAGGCTTTCACAGCCAGAGGTAGACCGACAGTAACGGAAGCTTCTCGTAGACTGTGCCCATAGAGCGTCATGGCATGACATTCGTGAAGGTAAAGTCGGACGTTGGTCGGATGCTGCCCGTCAAAAGTGTTCCGTTGCGTCATGGTTTCCGTCAATCATACGCAACTTACGAGTATACTACAGTGTGCACAGTACTAGGTATAAGAACAGCCTTTCATTCAGCGGTAGTGACCAACAATGTACACCGTTCCGTACGCAATGCGGCCACCGACGCCCAGCTAATTAGACATGGCGGTATGACGTTCAGTCAGTCATTCCAAGTGACTGGACTTACCCCTTTCTACACAGGAAGCTTACAATCTCTGGTGCTGGGGACGTTTAGCGAATGACACTCATGCTGCATTTCCACCCAGCACTACCTACCTGCCGCTCTACACCAGAATGTAGCACTCTCGACTTGCATCTGCATCTCACTCGCTCCCATTCCGGAGTGAGGTATTGGCTTTATCTCCTTCATCGTAAGCATGTCACGGTATTTGCGGCAACTCTCACCTGCTTTGGTAAAAGTGTGTGCGCATATGCATGCGCACACGCCCGCGCGTGGTCTCGTAGTCCGCATGTAAAGTTCAGGGTATCGCTATACCCGCTGCTCGGGTGCATTGTGGAGGCGGCCTTGTGCACGTCACATGCGATGCTTGACAAAGCACAACGACGCGTGGCTCGGCAACGCAGTAGGGCAGCTGACGCTATCCGTGTCTTAGACATGCGTTATCAAAAACGGCGAGGTGCGCGCCTCAATACCTTTCGTACCTGAAGCGCACAAATTTTCAAAGCATCGCATATCTGATGCCAAACGTCTTACATCTATCATATTCATGGTATCGTGGGTGCGGACGACTTCCATGTCTCGCGCAATTAGATTCAAGATGGCTACTTCACACATCGTCGTTGTCATCGATTGGTATGTGCTCAGTTCACACTCTTCTCGTGTCATCGTGGCTAATGCTTGAGTATAGAGCAGGGGTTCTGAGCGTCAGATCAGAGGCAGGGTCGACCTTGTATGGTCGCATCTGTGCAGGATCCGGCCGGGATTGCGTTCAGTTTGTAGTTTTGGAGTCTCAAAGGCGCTGTTTTGTCAAGCACCCGCTAGAAGCGGACATGCACTGTGATAGAACCAGGATCACTCGGGCTGCCACCGAGGCACGCAGCGATTCACTCTGTTTGAATGGTTGTCGGGGGACATGCCACGGTTGACGCTTGCAACGTGCGACTACTCTCTCGACATAAACATGAGTGGAGTCTGTCTACGAGAGAAAGCGTGAAAAGAATGGCACGGGTACCGAGCTTAGAACTCACGCGTCATTCTCTATTTAACCAGCATCTGTCGTCATGGAACGAACTTTGAAACGTGACTGTTCGATGAGAGTACTTCCACTCGATGATCGCCAGCACAGCCAATCGCCCGCTGACCTTCGTGCCGCTCGCAGCTTCTAGTCCAGCCGCTGTCAGAGAGCTCTGGGTAATGGAGAGCGACGGTAATTCGGTGTCGTAAGCTTTCGCAGCGCATTCCAGAGGGGACGCAGATGTTTGCGTGACCGTAGAAACCGATCTCGGGATCGCGATATTGCCGTGGTGTCCGTTTGTCATAAGAAGATATGGATGACCTTGGACGCAGAAGATACATCTGTCGGTTCGGGTGTTTTCTGGAAGTGAGAGCATGGCGTCAGGGCGGTTTGACTGAGCACGCGCCGCAACGTGATGGCATCAACGCGGGGGTTAACCCTCGTGCCGTTCGTTGCTTTGGTTCGGGTGTCAGACTGACTCAGACATATCTCCCCCTCGCTCGCTCACTCTCTGCTCAGTATCGGATTTCCTTGTTCACCGGCCTTTCCTATGCCAGCCGAGCGACGGAAGCGCTTGACGGTCGCACGGTCGCACGTACATCCTCTCACCCGGCCGGTACAGTCGCCACGGAGGAAGCGAGCAGGCGCCTCCCGTGACGAAACGACAGCCGTCGACCGAGGCCTCGTGCGCACGAGAGTAACCCTGCTCGATGCTACCGGACAAAAGCATTCGTACACGCTGTCGTCGGAAGTTGTGGATCTTTTGTACTTCGTCACAGAACGCCATCGCATCTTCCGGGAGCGTCTCGAGGGCAAGCCAGCGCCCTGGACGAAAGACGTCCTACTTCAACAGAGGCACTTCACAAATGTCTTTCGCGTACTGGACAGGTGCTCTCAGTACTGTCTGAGCCATGTCATCAGAGAGGGTCCAGCCGTATTCAAGGAGCAAGTGTTCCGAGTCGTGGCCTACAGCATACTGGGATTCAACCCGGTAACATACGGATATCTGGAGAAGACATTCGGATCTCCATTATTGTTGGAGAGTTATGACGAGCACGCATGGACCCGAGCATTGAGTTCTATAAATTTCTCAATTGGTCGGGGCGCCTATCAGATACCTGCGCCTACCGTCGACCAAATCGGAGAAGGCACCTACTGCGCTCGCTTGGTCCGGCTCGTTAGCCTGATGGTGAAGTCTGAAGTCGACTTGGCTCTGGAAGGATGCAAACACCTTCGCGACTTGCACATCATCATCTCCAGCTACCCGTCGATGACTGCCTTTCTGGGTTATCAGTGCGTCCTCCACCGCGATTGCATAAAGAGGGTTTGGAGTGTTGCTGACTGACTCTCATTACAGGGTGGTTTTGAACCTGAACATGATCCCAGCACTTTCCTGCCCAGAAGATTGGGCACAGCCGGGACCTGGAGCAGTGAAGGGCTTGAGGGCGATATTTGGAGATGACCTTGGCACTCAAATGATGGTGCCGGCAATGGAGTGGCTGCGCAAGCACTTTTCGGAACTGGCGATTGAGGCCGGTTACCCGATGCGCCAAGTTCCCGCGCTCAAGGCTGACTCTCCCGGGTTCACCCTCTGCGACATCGAGCACCTGCTGTGCGAGTTTCACAAATACCGTTCTGCACCGAGCGATGGCAAGGGATGTCGCCGGTATGAAGGATCAATATCCACTGTCACCGTCCCCGTCACCGAGCACCTCCCCAAGAACTGGGTCCACCATGATCTGGCTTGCCAACGACGTGATGACTCTTATGCTTTCCCGCCTGCCGACGAGGATGAGGAGTACATGCCGTTGAGCGTCCTGGAGGAAAAGTATCCCGGAACGCCTAACCATCAGTATCGGGTCCGCTGGGATGGTTACCCACCCGAATTCGACACTTGGGAACCTGCGAAATCTCTATCAGAGAGCTCGCCGACGGTGGTGGGGTGCTTCAGAAAGAGGATAGACAAGGTTGCAATGATGCTCTCGGAGTATACGTCGTAGTGGATGTCATAAAGATATTATTCATGACATATCTCTCCTGAGCGATACAAAGCGTCAATAGCTTGTCAACCGTCAGACATGAAGCAAAAGGGGAAATGGTACTCCCGAGTTTGAATGTGTTTTTCGCCCATGCAGATCCATGCAGATCCATCCATCTTACCCAGAGTTGAAGCTCACTCAGGGCCATCACTCCCCAGATCTTTGTTCTGACTAGCGCAGAGTGATGGCAGCTCTGTGAAAGATGTGTAGAGGGACGTCCTACACACTGTCTATTCTGCGCCAGAGCTCAAATTTGCTTACAGCGCATATGGCAGATCTATGCGGAACGGGTCTAATGATTTAACCGTTCACACTTGCAATCACTCGTCAGCGTAGTGGACCAAGAAGTCGGTCGATGGTAGCTTCTGTCTGAAAAGTCGAAAGACACCGACTCGGATCAATCACGGACAAGCATGTGAACATCACGGGAGGTCTGAGATTGTGGCCTGTTGGCTCAGGTGGTAGAGTACCAAGTGCACAAGCATGATCCGGCATTCAGTTCGTGTGGGAGGCAAGTCCATTACCCAGATGTTGTAGAAGGCCGTCATTGGAGCAGGCATATGAACGGGGATTCATATGCCTGCCTCGAGGACCGTCCTCCATAATATCTGGGCGACTCCGCTCTCTTTTGCTTCTGAGGCTTCACCAGTCCTTAGGGGTGATGCGGCACCACAATCCTGTGCCGCTATACAAAGGTCAAGCAGTACGAGCTTGTGTGCACTGTCATCACAGAGCATTGTCCTCAGAGTGTAAAAGTGGTTGTCTGAGGGGCAGTCTTTGTTTGCTCAGATACATGGGGAGAAGATATACCCGGCTGTTGTAAGGGCAGCAGTGCCGACCAGCAAAGCTTGCGCCACCTCTTTCAAGAAATATGAAGGAGGCACACACATTTCACGGGTCAAGGTCACTTCAATCGCGGTAGCTCCAGTGCCGCTCATCCACGTCGCGCTGGACGATACGTCGATGGAGCAAGTGAAGATAAGGTAAGGTCAGACGGGAGGTACCTGAGACGTGTTACCGTACAGAGCACATCATGACTTTGGCCTTGCAGCTGAGTAGACTAAAACACACTGAAAGAGACTGAACGGTGCTAACGCGGGGAGCGGCCAAGGAACTAATTGCACTGATGTGGCTGGGTCGTCGGAACGCAGGTAGCGCGTTTTGGTCGGTATTGAAGGGCGGGTGTGCGTGTAGCCGTACTGTATATACTGTATAACAGTGTAAGCGCTAGATCAGTACGATTAGAGCACACTGTGTGAGCCGCTCAAAGATCCGGGCATCGAAAACGGTCCTGTGAGAGGATAAGAGGCCGAGAAAGCCGGGCGAGAAGTTCCGCGTCGAAGACGAGGGTCGCGCAGCGATGCGGATCAGAAAAGTAAAAGGGATAGCTTGAGCGGGTTGTTCGTCAGGTAGCTCGTTAGAGCGCTTGAGGATCAGCCTCTGGCTAGAGAGGGAGGGGGGGAAAGCGAGGTTCTTATTTTCGACAATACAGAAACCAAGAAGGCTCACCTGCCCTACAGACAGCGGCGAGTTGAGCCGTACGAGGGGCGTGCAGAATGGTAAATAAACGGATCCGAGACAGAAACCGTTAGAAAACCAGTGAAGAGCGGGCAACCTAGCCACGCCAAAGACCTCTCGTTAGAGACTGTCTCGTTCCAGCGGCTCAACCCGTTTCTCTTGCTCTGGCCCGCACAGGGCGTACGTATAGTCCCCAGGCCCACGTAAAGTGACGGGAGGGGAGCGTAACATGGAGGACGGCGAGAGGGAAGGTGTTCGGGAGGCGCGCGATTGTCGGGAAGTGAGATAGAGACGGGAGGGAAGACCACGATCAGTATAGTTAGCCGAAAAGGCATCGTAAGAGTATGAGGGGAGCAGTTTCTAAGATACAGTACCCTAATTCAATATTTCTCGCATTGTCTCGGGCTGTGGTAGCGCGTGCAAGGCGCGGGCGGCCAGTCGTGAAGGCACGCCGCTGGGCACTCGGTGCCGGAGTGCCGGTAAAGAGAAGCGGATTCGCGGCGCCGAGACCTGATGCGGGGATCGTGGGGAAGAATTTGATAGCCGTAGAGGTATGATACCTGGAGATGCCAGTAGAAATGGCGGTGGCGGTTGAAGACCAGGAATACGCCAACACGAGCCGCGGAGGACCTGCGGCGTGTGGCGGCGGCCTTCTCTCGCGCAAAGCGGCGTGGCCGCGCCGATCTGGCAGTGTCCAAGAGTACGCTCGTGGACACTTCCACAGTGAGCATAGTAAAACGCACTGTAACGCCTTATAAGCTTTACTATTTGGCTTAGGGCTAGGGGTAGTGTTGGTGCGTCAGTGCGACCGGCTCTCTCAGTTGCAGCACAAAACGTCAATGCCCTTGCACAATGAGTTCAGACCTCGTCGATTGTCATCGTAGCGATGGCAATTCGACTCTGAGATAAGTCAGTCCCGGCGCGAGCGTTGGAGCATTGGACATATACTGACGGAGCGAGCTTGTCATTCAGTCGTCAAGTAGTTTGCCAAGGGATACCCAAACACTGACGTGGTAAGCTGGGAATGACAATGTCTTTGCAGAACAGGTCGCAAGTGACGCCAGCGGCATTACTAGCTGTATCATAACGAGCGTTGGGATAGCGCACCACGTGTAATCTTACTATCGTAATATTGTCATGAGGCCCGTGCATCGGCGTCATAGGTAAGAGACGTGACATGCAAACCCTACCAGCGGGACGGGGTCGTCACAATCACCCCTCGTGCCCAGCCCCTGTACCGTTCCCGCTCGGGATAGCTCTCTGCTACTCACCGGACCAGTGAGCGTTGCAGGTCACAAGCCTGATACGGGTGAAAAAAGCGAGCGAAGATGGTGCGCATGTATGCTCTACTTGTGCACAGTGTCACGACCGCGTCACGGTGATAAGAGTTGCCTCATGGCACGCATCTCACCCGTTGACTTCCACCATCGTCTCCCAGTGAGCATCCTGACGCAACCACCCCGATCCTGTAGCCTCTATGACGGATACCATTGATCAAGGGCTTGTTGTAACACGCAGAGTGCCCCCTGAGATTCTTTGCGCCATTTTTTTGTGTGCCGCTAGCGCAGATGGTAGCGCGCCAATGTTTAAACGAAAATCTGACGGTCATATCATTGGCTGGGTCACCCATTCATATGTCTGCCGTCTTTGGCGCAGTGCTATGCTCTCCTTTCAACGGCTTTGGGCGGAATACGTCGGGTGTTTGCCGGCTGGCACCTTCACGTTCATCACTCGCGCCGGACGTTATGCCAAACTCCATCTGCACGTCATGGGATATAATATCGTTCTTGTGATGCGCGACATTCTCATAGAGAATTCTAGTCGGGTCTCTGCAGTAACGATGAGGCGCTGTTTTCCTTCGGACGTCGACCTGCTTCTAAAGCACGTCAATCGCAACATCTTTGAACGAGTGGTGGTCTACTATGACCAGGAAGACATCTTGCACATGACCCCAGCAGCTCCGCTTGCATTGTTTTTTGGGAGCGAAAACCATGCGATACGAGTCATAAACATCGTAAATTCTTTCCCCTTGGTCACGATCAACGAACTCCATTCGTTATTCATGAATTGCCCAAACCTCGTCGAGTTCAAACTCCACCATACATCAATTCTGAAGCTATACTCACTCGATGAGCAGGAGCCGGCGGACATTATTGAGCTGCCTCATCTGAAGCGACTCGAGCTTCACACTGTACGTTCTCTTGCCGATAAGCTTCACGCGCTTTTTGCCCTCCTCAAATTATCACCGTCGGCGGAGATCCATATTGTCGGCAAGGACATCACACCCATGTGGGCTGAAAAGCTTCTCGACACTCTGTGTGCAAGATGTGGGGAATGCACAGAGCTAAGACTCGAGTGGGTCAATGACCGACTCGCCGTTTATCGCGCCGCCTTAGCCGGCACTCCTGACTGCATCTTCTCTATCTCCATGGAGCGGCGCTTAGACGAGATCATGTCGTGGCGATTTCAACAGCATATCAAGTCAATGCTGGGGAACGTAAAGGTGTTCGTCACCGACGACGATGACGAAGAAGAGTGGGAAAGCTGGGCCTGGCTCTTCGATTCCATGCTCAATACCGAGATACTCGAGCTCGCCAAGTCGCCGAAAAAGCGCGCATATTCTATCGGGAAGCCTTTTCCCAGCTTCGAGGCGCTTTTTGAGGCGCTTAAAGCCCGTAGACTTTACACTTTCGGAGCTCGCACATTCTTCAAACTGCGTCTTCCAAAGCTCACGACCGTCGAGCTGAAGGAAGGCATTGGACCGGGTCAAGTCTCTGTCTTCAACAGCCTTCTTGCCTGCTACAAGACGCGCAGCAACTCGGGCCGTCCGTTGCGGCTGATGGTTGCTCCTGAACCATATTGGTTGGGATCGCGCGCCCTTCTAGAGCTTCTGACTGTGACAAACGGCATCGCCACACGATTTCAGCCAGTATTGGGCTCGCCTTTATATGACCGCGTGTATACCGAGTCAGATGGATGGGTGTACAAGCCATGTGTAAAACACATAAAAAACTGTGAAGTGGAAATTCCAATCGTCGAGCACGGCATGGTACTGTAATCCCACCCCCCACC